TGAGAAGAATTAGGATTTTTGTGAAATTTGGGGGTATTTGGTGGTTTTGGGGTATTGGGGTATGAGTGAATTGGGGAGGTTTTAGAGAGAGAAAGGAAATGCAGTTGTGAACGACATACGTAATTTTACTGCCGCGTAAATCATTTCAGTAATTATAATCAGCATGATTTATTAAGAGCTAAGACTTAAGAGTGTCACATGTCAAAAATTTAATGGAATTCGATTTATATTAAATATCGGCTGATCTACTCAAAATTTAATCTCTTTTATAAATGATAGAGTATATACATGAATCACCCCAACTTGGGCGATCACACACTCATAACCAGTTATTCTTTTGGTTCAAAAGAAATACAATACATATTGACTAAAGAGCGCACATTTCTTTTCAAAGTAATGTATTGAAACACATTTTTGTGCTTGTTTGACCATTAGTAATAATTATCAATTTATTAAGAAAAAGCCTTTAATCATCAATATTTTTTTTCTTCATGTTATACACAGTATATTAGCTGCTATAATATGAACAAACAAAAATAAAAATCAACCACACATAGATTTTGGGTTGTTGGCTGCAAAAGGGGTTATTCTGAACGCATCACCTATATATTGTATATTATTTTCTACACGGTGAATGTCTCTCTAGAGGAAAAAATAAGAGCACTGTCGGTTGAGAAGATGTGCAAGATTTCAGAAATTAATGAAAAACCCTTTTCGTAGAACGCATAGCCATGCGTTAACTTTTCTCGTTCTTTATTATTTTCCTATCCTACCCTTTAACCTAACGGACCATTACCAAAAATATCAAATGTTCGTGGTGTAGTTGCCAAAAGACCAAAGTTCAAGGGAGGTATACGCAAATTACCTTATAATAGATTGGTAAATACATAAATAAAACCAAGTTATTGATTAAAAAAAAAAAAAAAAAAAAGTAAATTCCACTTTCCCCTTCTTGTAATTTGGCTCGGTATCACTTTATCCTATTATACTCTTGATCGCATCGTTTTGCCCCCTGCACTTGAAAAAATGTCTCAATGTTGCCCACACTATTAGACTGTTAGTTGTCATACATTTGACCTTAACACCATTTGATCTAATTAAGCTATGAAATTACAAAAACGCCATCTCTCACAGTTTAAATAATTATTAAAAAACAACAAAAAATAAATAATAAAAAATTCAAGACAACGAGAAAACGTAGTCCACGTCGCCAGTCACATTTTTTTTTTTAATAATTATTTAAACTGAGAGGGTGGTTTTTTTGTAATTTTCAGATTTAGATCAGACGGTCTTAAGGTCAAAAGACTGGAAACTAACGCCGGTGGCCACATTGAGACAATTTTTCAAGTAGAGAATGGACAAATCAACGCAGTCGAGAGAAGAAAATAGTAAAGTGATATGGAACCAAAGTAAATGGGGGAGAAAATCGAATTTACCCAATAAAAATGCATAATAATAACTAAAAAAACTGGATAGTTTTGAAAAGAACGCGACTTTCTCTTTACGTTTATTAGTAGTCCGAATCTAACACAAAAAGCGCTATTTTCACGCTCCAGTCTTCTCTCTCTCTCTCTTCTTTCTCTCTCCTCTTTCTTCCATGGCAGATCTCTGATTCTCTCTCAACAATTTAGATTTTTGCGCAAACCTCCCTCAAACACTTGGTAATTTCGAAAGAAGAAAAAAAAAATCCCCAATTTTATTTCCTTAGATCTCAAATCGATTACCCTAATAGTGTTCGCAATTCCGTGCTCTCGATCCAGTCCGATCCCACTGCAAATTTTCTGGGCAGGAGATTGAGTTGAACTGAGTTGAGGAGTGAAAAATGGCGGGTGGTGCGGCGGGAGGGTTCGTCACGCGAGCATTTGAGTCGATGCTGAAAGAGTGTGCTAACAAGAAACACAGTGCTGCTCTCCAGTCCGCCATTCAGGCTTATTACGGTACACTCCTCCTATGCTGAACGTAGATCTCCTTACTCGAGAATTTCGAATGCAATGCTGTTTTCAGTCTTTGGATTGCAATTACTGGAGCTCTGTTAATTGATCACAGTTTTTTTTTCCTCTCTGTTGCTTGAGTTCTCTCAGTAGTAGTTTATCTAATTACTTTCGTGCTTGATTAAAACGTTAATTATCTGCCCAAAAAAGTTTATAACATGAAAAAATCAGGACGCACACTATACTTGAATTTCGAATGTTATGCTATTTTCAGTCTTTGAATTTACAATGAATGGAGGGGATGGCTGTGGGGAACTTCAGTAATCGGTCATAGTTTTTCTTTGTTGCTCGAGTTCTTTCAGTAGTGGTGTATCAGATGTGTTTTGATATACCAAATAGTGTATAAAAATGATAGGTTCAGGGCACACTAAGCTCTTATTTCTCTCAACCGAATGTCGTGGTATTTCACAATGAACGGAAGGTAAACTTTTTAAGTTTCGGGAACATTAGGATTAGTACTTCCATCACTCTTACAGAAAAACCTGTAACCTCTAAACCTGGTATTGTGTGCTTGACTATGGTTCCGTGTAATTTTGAGATTTAGAGGCTTGGCCACTCCCTTTACCAATATTTCTATTGTTGATAGTGTGTAAAATATAAGTATAGCTGATAATAGCATCAACTGTAGATCTGCACACAATCATTTGAATATGGTTTACGAGGATAGGAGTTGGCCCTTTGTAAAGATGCATAATCAACTTTAGAGTTGTTTTACTCTCTTCATGTATGCATAAAAGAGAAGGAGAATTTCGTGTCTGTTTGGTTGGTTTGGCCTTCAAGTGCAAGAATCAAATTCTCTTGAAGGCCTAGTGTCTTTTGCGGGAATTTTAGACCACTTCTGTATAGAGATGCTAAATTGATGTGCGGTATGCATTAAGTGGAGAAAACTACTTTGAATTCGTCAAATGAATGCTAGTGAGGGTAAATGCAGGGGATAGGTCATTGATAAGGTCGGATACAGGGTTTGATAGAGAACCTGTTTGACTATGGGTATTCATTTGCCATTTCAGGACTTGAAAGTTTCATGTACGCGAGGACAAACAAGTCAGTTACAGGAGGAAGTATTAACTATCTTTCTTTTTCCTTTCATGTATCTGATTTCCTCCGTCAGGTTCTTTCCTTGGACCTGGTACGGGTGATATTGACTTTCTATTTATGGACTATCTTTTAGGTGCTTAACCTCTGGGGT